CCGCGTCCGCCGCCGCCGCCCCGAGGCCCTCACTCGCCGTGCCGGCTGAGGGGCGGAGGGAAAAGCGCGGAGGGCGGGGCGGCGTCGCACAGGAGCCTGATTATTGGTTGAGAAGCCGTCTATCCTGTGGAGCGCGCCTTTTTATTGGACAAGCGTGATTCGGAGGAGGCGGGAGCTCCTGTGGCCCTTGGGGCGGAGCCGGCGCCGAAAGAGGCGGGATCTTTGCGGTGAGGGAGTGTCTCATTGGATGGCCGGGCGAGCTTCTTTCTTTCAGAATGAAAGGGAGGCGGGGCCATGGAGGAGGAGGAGCTGCAGTCCTCCGCGGCCAATTATAAGTGTTCTGAGTGTCTGTCAATCACAGTGGACGTGCGTGGGATTGGAAATTGGGAGAAACGAGGCGTGGCCATAAGTGCCAGGTGTACAGAGTGACTTTCTGCCGGGATTCCCAGGTTGGGTTCGGCTATGGGATCTGGATCTTCCCGGATCTAAGACGTGGCCATAAAGCTGGGAAATAACGATAAAGTCCGCCTGCTCTTAAGTTTAGCCAGAAAGCTCAGGCGTTTTTCTTCCAAAAATACTGGAGCAGGGTGGACCATAATTTTCAAACAAATGCTCCTTTGAATGTTGCATGGGCCCCAAATAAGGAAAAAATAAAAAAGAGTTGCATGGGCTTCCCCATGCACTTTCTTAAAATGTGATTAAGGAGAGAGATGGCTTAGTGGGAAAGGGCGCTTCCTGTGAAAGCGTGAGGACGTGAGTTCAAATCCCCAGTTGTGCCTGTAACCCCCGCACTGGAGAAGCTAAGATAGACTAATTCCAGGAACTTGCTAGTCGGCTAGCCAAAGAGTAAGTAAGTAAGCTTAAGGTCCAATGTCTCAAAATTAAGATAGAAAGGCAATAGAGCAAGACATCGGGCAACTTCATGGCCTTTTCATGTATGTGCACTGGCACACACACACTTGTAATTATTCAAAGGCAGTCTGATATGGCATAGTGATAAAAAGCATGGGGTCTGAAGGGTGTTGGTGGTGCATTTAGGTCATCATAGAATTTGAGAGGCAGAGGCTGGAAGATTGTCCATAGTTTGAAGCCAGCCAGGGCTACATAGTAACTTTCAGGCCATCTTGGCTACAGGGTGAGAGTTTGTTTCAGGGAGAGGCTGGAAGGGAAGGGCAGGTGTGTGTGATAAGATCCCGCTTTCCATTACAAAGAGAACACAACCTTTGGCGTTGGCCCTTGACTTCCACCTTTTTTTGAGGCAGGGCCTCTTATTGTTTGCCACTGCTTTCGCTAGGCTAGGGGCTCACAAACTTCTGAAGAATCCCTCCTGTCTCCACTTCCCATGTTGCTATGGGAGTGCTTGGATTACAGGCGCTCGCTACTGCATCCGGCTCTATGTGGTTTCTAGGGCTCTGAACACAGGTCCTCACTCTTTTGAAGCCAGTGCTTTACTCCCAGTCCACCTTATATTTTTTGAAGCTATGTAGCTGAGGATGACTTTGAACCCCAGATCCTCCTGTCTTTGCCTTCTAAATGTTAGGATCACAGGTGTGTGCCATCCCCCCTAAGGGTATGTTTCTAAGACTGAAAATAGAGAAATCTGAACCCAGGGACTAGAGTTTGTTTCTTATTCAGTTAAAAAAAATGAATTAATTCATTTTTTCACAGTTTTCAGCAAATATTCCAGACATTTACAAATACCTTTATAACTTTATAAATAGCTTGATGCCAGTGTTTATGGAATCATTAACTATTTTAAAGGATCACTTAGATTTTTTTTAGCGACACATTGTGGTGTTTTATGGGAGAAATTATATGCTGTTGATAGTATCTAATTTGGGTCTTTGACAAGGGCTCTGGCCATATCCTTCACATTTGCTAAAAGGCTAAAGTGCTTGAAATAAACACGTGTATCCATGCACTCCATAATAGTCTCTTAATTAGCCCTGGCATTTATATGGCATGCTGTAATTTCTCAAGTGCTTCTACATACATTATCTCATGTCATCTATTCTCCCCACAATGCTGGGAGAGAAGCATTCATGGGACAGCTGTAATAAAAAATCCAAGGGCTGGAGAGGTGGCTCAGTAAAGCGCTGGCAAAGCAAGCTTCATGAAGCCCTGAGTTCACATCCCCCAGAAACCACGTAAAAATGTCAGGAGTGGTAGTGTGTGGCTCTAACCCCCCAGGGCTGGGCAGGGCAAGGCAGAGACGGGTGGATCCCTGGGGCTTAATGGCTAGCCAGCCCAGAAGAATCAATGAGTTCCAGGCCCTTGGGTGTCTTAATTTGCTTTTCTGTAGCCATGATAAACATGACCAAAAGCAATTTGGGGAGGGAAGGGTTTGTTTTAGCCCAGGGCCATCCTACATCACTTAGTAATCAGAAGATGCCCGCAGGTCAGTCTGGTCCCTTCTTCCCAAATGTGTCAGATGACAGCTGGAGCCGACTCCAGCAGACCCTGTTTCAAAGAGAAAGGAAGAGAGAAAGTGATGTGACTGGCGAGAGATATTCAAAGTTGACGTCAGACCTCCACATGCTCACACGTGCATGTCAGTGCACACACACTACAAGTACATATTCACATGTACAAATGCTCCAACACACTATCCCACCCTGCACACAAAGAATGTCGAGTTCCGAGCATGAACAGTGATTATTAGGTGTAAGCATGGCTGGTAAATAGCAGAACGTGGGCAGGAAGCCTGACCTCTAGAGCCTGCTTCACATACACTGTGGGTTCGGGTCGTGCATGAGAGTTTGGAAGCTTTGCTTTTCCATTTAGGGATGTGTGACTTGGGATGAGTCACTTAGTGTCTCTGAAATTTGCTCTTCTTATCTGTAAATCAGGAAGAAATGGAGCCCTGGGGCTGGAGAGACCCAGGTTCCATTCTCAGCACTCACGTGGAGGCTCACAACTATCTGTGACTCCAGTTCTAAGGGATTTGATACCCTGTTCTGGCATCCGAAGGCACCAGGCATGCACATGGTTCACAGATGTACATGTAGGCAAAATAATACCTGCACACATAAAATTAAATTTAAAAAAAGAATGTGTATTGTTGCTGTTGCAGAGGACCTGAATTCTGGGTCCTCACACTGGGTAGTCCACAACTGCCTGTAACTCCAGATCCAAAGGACCCAACACCCTCTTCTGGCTTCTGTGGGCACACACACACATATGGACACACAACACACACATATGGATACACAACACAGACACATACACATACACATACACATGCACTAAATAAAAATAATCTAAAGTGGACCTTGGTAAATTTCAAACAAGTTTCCAATCACAAAGGCTTAGCTGGGTGCCGGGGATGGTCCAGTGGGTAAAACGCTTGCTACACAAGCGTGAGGACCTGAGTTTGGATCTCAGTGCCCATATCAAAAAGCCAGACTTGGCAGTGCAAACCTGTAATCCTGGCACTTCCGAGGTGGAGGCAGGAGGATTAGCCGGTGGTGTTGGCGATAACGATGATGGCAGTGGTGATGATGGTGACAATAGTAATGATGGTGATGGTGATAATAGTGATGAAAGTGGTGGTGACAGTGATGATGGTGACGGTGACAGTGAGGACTGGAATGATGGTGACGGTGATGGTGAGGATGGTAACGGTGACAGTGAGGACTGGAATGATGGTGACGGTGACAGTGAGGGCTGGAATGATGGTGATGGTGATGGTGACAGTGATGTTGGTGATGGTGACAGTGGTGATGGTGATGGTGAGGATGGTGATGGTGACATTGAGGACTGGAATGATGGTGATGATGATGATGAGGATGGTGACTGTGACAGTGAGGGCTGAAATGATGGTGATGGTGATGGTAAGGATGGTGGTGATGATGGTGGAAGTGGTGAATGGTGTACAGGAAAAACTTAAAGTGCTGCACAAAGGAATCCGCACCCTGTCTCTGAGCAGAGTCGGGACGCTTCACAGGCCCAAATCAAAGAGAAAGCAGAGTCTGGGAGTCAGCGTGCTGAGTCGGGAACTGCTCAGCTGCCCCCAGACACCTGCCGAAGCCTCACAGGTCTGCCTTCCTGTCTCCCTGTGCTCAGCTGAGAGACAAGAGACGAAGCCCAGGGCCGTCTGGTAGGCCACTGCACGAGGCCAGGGCCACGCAGTCCTCAGAAGAGCGGACGAGCAAAGCCAGCCATGTGGGCGCTGCAGCCATTCATCGGCACAGCAAGTTCCAAGGAAACGGTGCCGGCTGTGATTGCTGTTGCTGCTGCTTCACTTGGAGGCAGAGTCTCACTGTGCAATCCAGGCTGTCCTGGAGCTGGGACCCCACCTCCCTTGTACTCTGGATGCCGGAACTACAAGTGTGTACCACCATACATGGTAAGAGACATCCCCCCTTTCTCTGTGTCAGAGATCGAACCCAGGGCCGTGTGCATTCAGCTATGTCCCTAGGCCACAAGTGCATTTGAATTTTGATACATCATTTTTAATTATTTACTCATTCATTCATCCATTTATTTTGTGTGTGTATATGTGGGATTCCCACAACATACATGTGGAAGTCAGATGACAATTTCCAGGACTTGGTTCTCTCCTTCCAACACGTGGCTCCTGGGATCGAACTCAGGTCATCAGGCCTGGCAGCAATCACCTTTAGTCACTGAACCATATTGCCAGCTCTTTAAGCATGACTTTTTTTTTTTTTTCTTTTTAAATCACCAAACAGGGCTCGGTGAGGTGACTCAGCCATTAAGAGCACTTGCTGCCCTGGCAGAGGACCTGATTTCAGTTCCCAGCACCCTATGGAAATTCACAATTGTCTGTAACTTTAGTTCCATGGGATTTGACACCCTCTTGGGCTTCCGTGGGCACTGTTTGTATGCACATGGTGCACATACATACATACATACACACACACACAGGCACAAAACACTCATAACACATCAAATAAAAAAAATGTTTTTTAAAAAAATCACCAAACAGACAAGAAAACAAGATATAAATGAAAGTCAACAAAAATTTCAATGAGTAGGGCCATACCCCAAAGATTTGAGACACAAAGGATCCAATATGGATGATAAAATAAACATACTCAGAACTCTCAAAGGAATAAAAGAGATCTGGACCCGGGGGGGGGGGGCGGGGTGTACAGACCTCTCATCCAGGCTAGAAAGAAGGCTGGAGATGTAGTTCAGAGGTAGAATGCCTTCCTAGCATGTGTGTGAGGCCCTACACTTAGAGGAGGGGGAGGGGGAGGGGGAGAGGGAGGGGGAGAGGGAAAAAGGGAGTAAGCTCAGAATCCCTTGCTGAGACCCATAGGACCATTCACCAAGGTCAGTTGCTACCTCAGTACGTCAGCTGCTTTGGCTCCACTGCCCTGGCAGCTGCCTGCCTGTGTGGTTCATCACAGAAGCAGATCTAACAGCAAGGAGCAGAAAGAAACCGAAAGAGTGAGTTCTGTGCCCCCTCAGCCCTCTCCAAACCCCACATAGAAAAGAGACTCAATGTTCTTATCTATAAGCTCCTCAAACCTTGGAGCTCACCCGGCATCTCTTTGAATGCACAGGGTGTTGTGTTTTCAATGCAAAGTGAACTTCATGTTGGTCTCCAGTTGTTGGGGAAGGTTATGGAGGTGCACCCTTGCTGGAGGAAGTACGTCACTGGAGACCCACACTGAGGTTTTATGGCCTGGCTTTGTGCTTCTCTGTCTGCTTGCCATGTGTGGATGCTGTGTTATCCACCAGCTTCCTGCTCCTGATGACAGGTCTTCCTTGCCATAATGGACTCCCCCTGGAACTGTGAGCCAAAATAAACTCTTTCTCCCTTGAGTTGTTTTCTGTCGTAGTATTTCATCACAGCAACAGACAGAAGCAAGGACACAGGCATTGGCAGCGGGCCGAGTGGGCTTGGTGCTGGGCAAGGGCAAGAACCCCCTAGGGACATTCTCCCGCTCCTATTGTTAAAAAGACACTTGAAAGATTCTGTCCTTTTAGATTTTTAGAAATGAGTTTATATTCGGACTGAGTGTGTGGGAATACACCTGTAATCTTCCGCACTTGGGAGACAGAGGTAGGCAGATCTCTGAGTTTGGATAATTTGACCTACATAGTCCCAGTCCAGTCCAAGCTACGTAATGAGACCCTGCCTTAAAAGAAAGAACTTATGTTCATCATACAAAGCAACAGGTGTCCCTTTGATGTTTGCACTCGGTATCATGTCCTTTGCTCATATTTGCCCCCACATAATCCCAACCTATACTCCTTCCCACCTCCTGACAATCCTCTTCCCTTTAAATAGCTCCTTTCTACACCCCAACACACACACACATACACACACACCACATTTTAAATCTAGATTCCACATATAAAAAGAAAAACATTTGCTGTTGCTGTTCTGAGTCTGGCTTATTTTGCTTAACATAATGACCTCCAGTTCCATCCATTTTTCCTGCAAATATGATTTTATTCTCCTTTATGGATGCATAAAATTCCACCGTGCACATGTGCCACATATTCTTTATTCTCTCATCTGTTGATGGTCATCTAGACTGAGTCCACATCTTGACTATTGTGAACCATGCAGCAATAAACATGGGTGTGCAAGTAGTTTTGTGGTACTTTGAGAGCATACGCAGATGTGGCACAACTGAGCCACACGATAGTTCTAACTCTTTGAGGAACCACCATACTGATTTCCATAGTGGCTCCACCAGTTTACAGTTCCACCAACCGTGAATCCGTGCTTTCCCCATCTATTAGTTATCATGATCAAAGCAGCTTATAGAGGGAAGGTTTCAGGGGTGGTTTATGGTTCCGGTGGCTTAGGGTCTGTAGCCACAGGGACAGCATGGTAGCAGGCAGCAGAAATGGCAGCTGAAGCAGGAAGCTGAGAGCTGAGGGCTCACACCTCTAACCAGAAGCACAGAGAGCCAACCAGCAATGGCATAAATGTTTAAACTCTCCAAGCCCGCCCTCAGTGACCTATGGTCTCCAGCAAGGCCTTATCTCTTAAACCGCCTAAACAGTGCCACCAACTGGGGACAGAGTATTAAAATTCCTGAGACCAAGGAGGCGGGGGCATCTCATTCAGAGCACCACACCATCCTTTCCCAAGACTATGTGGGGGGGGGCATCTCATTCACAGCACCACACCATCCTTTCCTGAGACTATGTGTGTGTGGGGGAGCAGCATCTCATTCACAGCACCACACCATCCTTTCCTGAGACTATGTGTGTGTGTGGGGCATCTCATTCACAGCACCACACCATCCTTTCCTGAGACTATGTGTGTGTGTGGGGCATCTCATTCACAGCACCACACCATCCTTTCCTGAGACTATGTGTGTGTGTGTATGGACATCTCATTAACAGTACCACACCATCCTTTCCTGAGACTATGGCGGGGAGGGGGAGGGGGGAAATCTCATTCACAGTACCACACCATCCTTCCTGAGACTATGTGTGGGGGAGGCATCTCATTCAGAGCACCACACCATCCTTTCCTGAGACTGTATGTGGGGGGGGGGGAGGGCATCTCATTCAGAGCACCACACCATCCTTGCCAATGTTTGTTCTTCCCTTGCCTCCTTTCTTTCCTTACAGTTTTTGAGACAGGGTCTCCCTGCGTAGCCTGCATAATTCTCCCCGGTACTGGGACCATAGCATTCTTCCATACCTTCTGGTCTCCTTGTGTCCTCACATGGTGGGAGGGTGGGGAGGGCAAAAGAGAGCGAAACCCTCTCCTTGAAATGATGTCTGTCCTGTCTATGGAGGCAGAGACCTGACAGCCTAATCACCTCTTCATAGTCCTCGCAGTGCCTATGATGACCACGAAAGGGTACCACGGACTTTGCAGGGGACACTAGGTTCCGTGCTTCCACCTAACGTCCCTGCATCTAAGCTGTACTTGCATAGGATGGGTTGTATGTACATGGTTAACATACATTGTATAACTGCATTAAACTTTCAAAGAATTAAAAAATATTATTACAATGGGGCTAGAGAGATGGTTTATCTGTGAAGAGTACTTGTTGCTTTTCCAGAGAACCTGAGTTTGTTTCCCAGCATCCATGTTAGGTGACTAATAAAGCATCTATAATTCCAGATCCAAGAGATTTGACACCCTCTTCTGATCTCTTTGAGCACTGGCACATATATATTCACCCATCCACCCATCCATCTATTCACCAATCCATTTGCCCATTCATCCACCTATTTACTCATCTAAACATCCATCCATCTAACTGTCTGTCCACTCATCCACTCATCTACCCACTTGCTCATCCATCCAATGATGATATGCCTATCTACTCATCCATGCATGCAGCCATTCATCCACTCACCCTCCAACCAAGTCATACATCTTTTAATTTTCTTTCTTTCTTTCTCTCTTTCTTTATCTCTCTCTCTCTTTTCTTTCTTTCTTTCTTTCTTTCTTTCTTTCTTTCTTTCTTTCTTTCTTTCTTTCTTTCCTTCTTTCTTCCATCCTTCCACCCACCTGCCCAATTCATCCAATTCCCATCTAACCATCCACCCAACTATCATTCATCTATCCATTCACTTACTTGCCCATCCTTCCAATTATCCCACCATATATCCCTCTATCTACTCATCTGCCATCTACCTACCTACTCATTCATCCATCCACTAATACATTTGCCTATTCATCCACCCACCCACCTGTTCATCTATCCACCAATGCATCCATCCATCCATCCATCCATCCATCCATCCATCCATCCATCCATCAATCCACCCATCCATCCACTCACTCCTCTACCTACCTGTCTACCCACACAACCACCTACTAACTACCATACACCAACCCATCCACTCATCCAGCTTCCTGGCCCCTTCCTGTATGCCCTTTTCTCTGTTGGACATGAAGCAAACAGTTCAAAGACAACTAAGTCCATGGGTCTTAGTAAACATGCCCCAAACTCTCTGAATCCATTAACCCAAACAAATCTTTCCTTTAAGTTGTTCTCTCTGGTCTTTTGATCACAGAGCTGCAAAAATAACTAATACACAGCCTGATGATCAGACCAGTTGAAAAATCTCTGGGATCTGGAATAAATCCCTGTCTTAGTTGGAGTTCTCTAAGGGAAAGTATGAGAGAGGGAGTGTGTGTACATGCATGAAGGGATTTATTTTAAGGAAATGGTTTATACAGTTGTGGAGGCTGTGAGGTCCAACATCTGCAGTGTGGGCCAGCAGGGTGGAGATCTGGAAGAGCAGATGTTGTAGGTCAAGTCCAAAAGCATCTGTTGGAGAAACTATCCTTACTCAGGGAAGTCAGTCTGCTCCATTCAAGCTTTCAGCTGTCCAGTTGTGGTCCACCACAGGATGGGGCACTGTGCCTCACTCTAAATCCATCAATTT